CCAGCCCCATCCTAGTGAGAGAGTTTTTCTTCATATTCAACCTACTTCAACCCCTGCAAGGGATATAGCCACCACTGCATGGTGATCGTACCAATTGCTCCAGGGCTGTTTGCTCCCACTTTTCTGTTGCGGTTGACGACACATGACAAACCTAATCGCACAAAACCAAACCCAGATTTTCTTAAGAGAAATTCTGCTTAGGAACAGACTCTCTCTGGCTTTGTTGCTCCTGATCAGTATGTCCCTAATCACTCAGACTCTTTATTTATAGAATCTTATTCTTCCTCCCCATTTTTTTCTGTTTTCAAAATTACCTTTAATTTCAGTTGTTGAAAGGATTGTCCTTATTGCACCCTTTGCAATAAAAATTATTTGGCCTGGATATGCAGCAAAATTAGCCCTCTCTACTTCTTTGTCCTTTCCAATTTCTCTCCTCTGTCACTGTCTGTATATCTGTTGCTGTTGAGCCATAACTCTGTGTTAAAGACTGTCAGCTCTACTGGGCAAGGATTTTGTTACCTGACAGAGGCTGACCTACATGGTGTCCAAAACTCAGAAGCTTTGGTCCCCAGCTTGGATCTCTCATGAGAGAAGATCTCCATGGTCAAAAATGCCTGTTGCCACCATGATGTGCTAACTTAAGCTCAACTTGGACACCACCAGAGGGAGAGTTCATACTCCCAAGAATCAGAGCAGGACCTTTATATGCAAGAACCTGCTAAGGGCCTCACCCTGAGTCAACACTGAGTCCCTAAAATTTACAGTCGGTTAAAATGGAGGAGCTGGTGGTCAGAAGCTCTCCATCAGGCCCCTGCATGGTCAGGTATTTTCTCTGTGCAGTCTCTTTGGTTACTACTTATTGGTTAAAACAAATATTATTCTGGTTCTTTTTGTTTCTTTTCCTTTCTTTCTTTCTCTCTGTGCTCCCCTTCCCCATTCCTGTCTGGAGCCCCTGAACGAAGCAGGTAGGGCTGTCAAAGATTCCCAGACCTGCCACTTCACTGCTTGTTTCATCTTCTGCCTGACGGTTACAAGAGTCTCATTCAGTACTAACATTCAGGCAGCAGGATGAGACTGGGCTCTGAGGAACTGGCTGGGCTGGAGACCTTTGAAACAAAAACACTCACCCATCAACCAGTCAAAAATACCTCCCAACTCCAAACTCTAGCTGAAATCTGGGCTGGGCGTTCGTGCGGTTAGTAGTTTGCAAGTGGCCATTTTATGATAGGACACAAGTGGGCAGTACATTAACCCTTTCCTCACCTGAATGGACAGTGGCAGTGTGCCTGTGCACATTTTTTTTCAAAGCATTCTGGCCTAACATTAGGGGGAATGAAGAGGGGGTCTGTCCTTGAGAGAGGTGGAAAGAGTTAAATATTGCACCAACAAACCTTGCTAGACTGATTTTTCAGGTATACTGTGTTGGACAGATGGTGTATTTATGCAATAACAATACAAATTAATTCAAAAGAAACCAAGTGTAAAGGTTGCCTTTAAACTTCAAGCTTCTTAAAGAAATTGCAGAAGGTTTAAAAAACAGAGATGACACTGGAGTATGACTTGCATTTTTAGGGAGATTTTTTCTGTGCCTTAATTGTCAATTTTTTTTCTTTTAATTAACATCAGTTCATGGTCTGAAGCAGTAGATAATCTTAGATGCATAGGTTCCCTTAGAAAGAAAACTTTTCTGTGTTGAGGTGGATATATATGTATATCGGTATATTTCTTTATACATATGTGTGTATATATATATATGTGTGTGTGTTTGTGTATATATATATATATATATATATATATTTATATGTAGCTGGTATTTCTACAGAATATACTGTGCATATACACCCACTCCTAGCCTTGTACAGACTGTATATAAATATAAAATGGCCACATCTCTTTGCGTGTGTCTGTCCCCGGAAGGGTGGACTGATTGTTTTTGGATGTCTGCAGCTGTTACCTTGAAGGATGCAATTTCATCTTTCATTTATTTTTCCCCATCTAGACTGTATCAGGATAAACTGTAACGCCAGTAAGTTTTCCCTCAAGTTTCATTTTGTTCTCTATATATATTTAAAAAAAGAAATTAACTTTATTTCCTTTGCTATTTTATAAGCTGTTTTCTTTTTCCTTTTTATTTTTTCCCTCTCTTATTTGTTTTAAATATACTTGAAATCAAAAGTTGGGTGGGATTTGGGGTTGGGGGTGGAGGGATAGATAGATTTTGTGGTGGTATGTGAATGTTTTGTATGTGGTTTCTCCACGGAGGAGATGAACTGTTGTTTCATGGCTTTGCAGAAAAGCATCTGGGGAACCAGATGAGCTGAAAATGTATTTCAATAGTAACCTGTTGTCTTTGGGGAAACACATAAAGAACACAAAAGGGCAACAACAGGTACTGTATGCACTTCTCCACTACCAAAAAAGGCACCGCTATTAAAAAACTGTGTTTGAGTCAAAGTGGTGGCTGCTTAATCTGCTATTTCTTCAATGATATTTTAAGGGGGTAGTGGGGTGGGGAGGAGAGAATAAGTCCTTTGTAATAAAGGTGGTATCTAGCGGGCTGCTTCAACACCTTGTCTTTCTGTGACAAAACTGGTTGAAAATGAAGCTGTGATTCCCTTTCAGTTTCTGTGGGCACGTCTATATGTTCATTAATGCGCCGTAGTTACTGTGTGTTTAGTTTAGTACTTCCTTGATGAAATACTAATTGAATGCTCAGTAACTACATTTACTGTTTTTTTGTCATGGTTACTGCACAATAGCCTGATAACACTGGGCAGTAGCTTATTAGCAGGGTTTTTGACTGGCACAGTACTGTGCAGTGTTATTAGACTACTGTGTAGTAAACATCTCATGTAGACGTACCTGATGAGACAGGAAGAGGCTTAGGAACTCTATAAGGTATAAACATTAAAGACACCATCTAATTCAAATCCTCTGTAGCACAGCAGAAAAAAACCTCTCCTGCCCTGTTTAAAAAAAATCAAGATAAGAACTTGTTGAAATTAAATACAAGCCCCAAACCAGGAAAATAACCTCCCAAACCTGGGATAGTTTGGACTCAAGGTTTTGTTTGAGACTTATCTCATTAAAACAACACTTCTTGCTGAGCTGTTGTCCCCTCTATTCTTGGCTCCATGGAAGGGGGTTCAGTGGCTCAGGTGGTGTGGTGAGTATTTCTAAATCTTTGCGTCTCTAAGAGGAGGAAGGAACATGTTGTGCGGGGTCACTTCATGAGCTTTCTTACAGCACAGAGAACTCCGTTCTCTCAAATGAACAAGGCTGCTTGCAGCCAATAGTGAAGCAATAAACCTTAGAGCCAGCAGCAGCAATGACAGGATCTCTTAGCAAACCAGGCCCTTGGCAGTTGCCTTAATTTGGGACTCTAGCTGGAAGCCAGACATTTTAGTGTTTTATATGTAGTATCAGTCAAACTACAAAGAATTCTGTGGTTGCAGGAGGGGAAGGTATGCACACGAGCAGAAGGCAGTTTTGCTTCCCTCCCTGGTCATCTCCACTCTCTACTGAAGCAGAATTAACTAGTTACACCGGAAATAGCTCCTAACCACCTTCAGTCAGACCCCAAAGTGGGAAGAGGCTCATCAGTGGTCATTCCATTTCTCTGACAGCTTACCTGTCCTCTTATGATCCACAGGCTTCCTCCAGAGTCCATTGAATATGGATGAGTACACAGGTATGAGGCAATGAGTGGCACAGAGATGGGTGTGGGTTGTAGACTCTGCACTCCGTGCTGTGCAGTGAAGTGCAGGATTGGTTTAATGGACCTGAAGATGGAGCCAGTGTTTAAGTTGCTTTTTTGCTTCTAGGTTTGATTTAATTTTGTATTCAAGGGATGCAAAGCAAAGTCACGAGAAAAATCCCCCAAGCCCCAGCAAACTGGGGTTGCTAATTGCCACCCAGCACTGCTGAGGACATTTGCATAAAAATGGGATTGTTTGTTTCCTAGTAGTTTCCCACCTCCTTGCTGCTTAGTCTTTCGTCCATCGAAGCACTTTTACCCTAATGCTCATGAAGGTGTCATCTGAGCACCCCTCTCAGCTAGTAGCATCTGATGTCATCATCCAGCTATCCTTCTGGTAGCAGCCGATTGCTGCAGTTTCTGCCACAAAGGGCTCTGTTTTCAGGTGGGGAATTAGCCACAGGAGCAGGAAACAAAAATTCTGTTTTCATGCAAATCCATGTCCCTTAGTAATAATACAAAAGAATTAAAATCAAGTAACGAAAGGCAAAAAACAGGCAGAAAATTAGAAGAGCAGGAAAACTGTCTCTAAATCAAATGTTTTTGTTGAAGTTTCCCCACAAAATGATGATTCCGCATCTCTCTCAATCATTTTGCTTTCATGCATTTTTAATAGTTAAGACTTTTGCATTTTTAAATATATTCTTCCTCTAAAGATTTTTATTAATTTATTTATTGTAGAGGGAAAAAAGGATTTTCCTAATTTATTTTTCATGATCTTCTGCTTTGTTGGTGGTTATATTTAAAAACCAACCAAACAGAAACCAAACAAAGCCCCTGTGATGTTGCTGACCTGGTGCAGTGACTCAGATCATCTGTCCTAATTATTGGACAGGAACCAGATGTGTAATGACTGATGGGGATAGTGTGTATCCCTGATCTACTCAGAAGTGCAACTTGCTAGGCAGGAGCAGAGCAAAAGCTCAGTGGGGCCATCTTCATGGGGCCATAAGTACTTAGTTGCAAAGAAGTTATATCCTTGTCTAAGGAATCCCCCAGCTGTGTGCATTGATCAAGACTTCATAAGTAGTTTGCACCTCTTCCTGGACTAAGGATAAAATATGTTTCTAAGAGTCATGAAAAAATGTGTGCACTGGGGAAGCTGATGAAGTGACGGAAGGAATTTGGGGATGAGGTTAAGTAAATTCAGGGAATAAATCTCCTTACCAGTTGAAGAATCTCAGATCATGCAGTCATCATTTCTATTTGAATATGGGGAACCTGGCTCTGGTTTTAAAAGTAAACAGAGTTGTTCTTGGGAGATCCCATGAAATAGTAAATGTCATGTGGCATGGTATCCTGTAACCAAAAAGATCACTGCAGCTCATGCTGCCTGAGAGGACTGCAGGACACAATGACAGGTAAGCACTTGCCTTTGGTTAACACTGCTCTTTTCTTTTCCTTGAAAAACCTTTTTTTGTATGAGGGACATTCCTTATGCATCACTGGGTTGTTTACATTCCCTAATAATGCTGTTTGTTGTCTTCTTCTTTTCCATTTATACTGTTCCTCTTCATTCTCCATTCTCCTCAAATTCTACATGTTGGATAGGATGATTGATTTCGTAGCCCATGTACAGAAACGTGTTCTCTCTTTCATGTATTTATTTTATTTAAAAATATCTCCCCACTTTATTCATTCTTAAAAAAAGAACTAGCTGTCCTTTTGTCTACCCTCCACCGACAATCTGAATACTGGAGAGCCCGACACTAATTTCACCCAGTTGTAAATCAAAGGGTAACTTAATTAAACCTATGGCCACGCCCACATGAGCAGGGGCGTGCATTTGCAGCAACACAAATCGAAACAGCACAAATTTGTGGCACTACTTTGTGCTGCAATGCATGTCCCTGATCATGTGGTTTGCAGCAGGACACATTGTCCTGCTGCTCCATGGCTCAGGGCTCCCTGCTCCCCCTTCTCTGCAGTCATCCCAGCACATAGCACTTCGGCATGCTTTGTGTCACTTTTTTCCAGGGGTTTTATTGCTGCTAGGAAATGCCAGTGGCAAATTTTGCCAATGCTGCCAATTATCCATGCCATGCATGGTTAAACATGCAACATGTGCAGTTTGTATCACTGCAAAAAGGTTTGCAGTGCCACAAACCACATGTGGTTGCATGTCTGGATCTGGCTTTATGGAGTTACCGGATTATAAAACCAGAGTAACCAAGATCAGAATAAAGTCCTCAGACTGGCAGTTGTGAAGCTACATTTCTGGCAGTTTCTCAGCAAAGATTTAACAAAGAGAACAATTGTGTTGTCTGGGTTCAAGGGAAAGAGTCCTAAGTATCAATGGCCCCTGCTTTTGCAAGCATAAACCATTTTTTAAAAATATTTTGTGCTGCATTTTGAACATAAGAATACAAGATTTCAAAAAGGGGAACTGTTCTTGGGTTCATCTCTTCCTATCTGATGCTTCTTGAAGTAGCCAACATCCTCGGGAAGATGGGAAGAAAGTCCTTAAAATGTTTCTAAACTGTGGGGCAATATTATGCAATTTTTCTTTACCTTTCCAGTGTGATGTAGTCCTTACTTGCCTCATCTTTTCAGTGACCATGCCTCACCTCAGTCCAGAAGGTATATTTTCAGTGTGGTAGTCAAGGAAGGGGCGATGCCAGATGTTTTGCAGAATCAGTAGTTTTTGGAAGAAATCGCTCAGGCTATTTTTTCTTTCCTTGCTCCTGGCCCTGTCCATCTCCCTTCTGCTTTCCCTGATGGTATGCCCCTGATTATAGGTAAGTAGGTGAATTCTGCTATTATATGAGGTAGGACCTTGACACAGAAGTAATCTTTGGTGCAAGGAGTACTGCTGGCTTTTCACACAACATTTCATAGTGTAGCCTTCACTTCTTACCAGAGCATGCAAGTTAGGCCTTGTTTTTATGTGTGTGTTGAAGCCTCTGAAACTAAGTATCCTGCTTTCTTACCCATTTCCAATGTCAGGAACACAGAGGAAGAAAACAGCTCACAGTCCAGGTGATCCTGTTTGACCCTTTGTTTCTAAGGGGGCCTCAAAGCTGGTTCGTTGCTTGAAGCCTAGTTAATTTTAGTACTTTCTCTGCTGGTAGACAGCAGCCAGAATATGAAGCCAGCTCTTCCTTTCCAGCTGCACATTCTATTTATTTAGCACCCTGCCAAGTTTTCTTTTCCATAACATCAAAGTCTCATTTTATTAAGCACCAGTGTAACAACACAGAACATGAGTCTATTTTGTGTGAATCTCAGGGAGATGTCAAGAATTGTTTCCCCCACTACATTATCATAAA